TTCCCAAGCCATTGGAGAATGCTTCTCTATGAAATCCAAATCACCAAGAGCATTTAATGGAACAGCATTTTCCTCATCAGTTTTTTTCAAAGCCTTTTCAAGTAATGTTGATGTTAAATATAAATCAGTATATTTGATTTCTTTTGTTATGCACACTTTTGAACATAACTTGAGTGTATTAGGAAGTAATAATCATTTTAAGCAACATATAACTTCAGTAGTTGTGGAGGTCATTGAACCCGCCAAGCCCTCAAATCTGATGAAAGAGACTTTAAGTGCATTCTTAGTTAATCTAGAGGTTAAGATATATCAGAAGGGGATTTCAAATCCTGGCCAGAAAGAATGAATATGTGTAAGCCAGAAAGTGAAATTATTATTCCTTTTTGGAATGGCAGTAAGTTAGATTTTCCCTGAAGTCATCTTAATCCACTGATTACTTTCCTCGTTAAATTCAATTACTACTTTAAGTATTTTATCAGGGGAGGGCATGGCTGGGTACTATTCACAGTATCAAAAAAATTCAATTAACTCAAGTTGAGTGTTTTTGATTTCCTGTGAGGTATAGCATACTTTTTGCGCTAGTTCTTGAAAATAATGTTTTGCTGAAACTACTTTTTGTCTCGTGTTTCTCTTGACTATTAGATAATTCAGTTTTAATATGTGTCACAATTTAATTTCTCATAAATCTCTCTTTAAAACATCTTTAATGTTATCACCATTTAAAACAATTCCATCTTCTAGAACAAATGTTTTATCCAAAAAGTGCTCTGCATTTTAAGACAATGTGCTAAATCTGCAAAAAACGTTTTAGTCCAAAGAAGACTATTTGCCCAGAAGGACTATTATTTCGTTTTGGCATTTTGCATTGATTCACGATAAACATTGTTTCACTTTTCAAATTGTGGCCACCAAATATTATTGCCTTGTATTATATTTAAAGAAATTAAATAATGAATAATCTGCATGAATGTATGCATGTTTCTCGCACTGTGATAAAACAATGGTGTACCTAGAGCCATCAAAATTTTAATAACATAATCTTCCATAGAATATGGGCATGTGGAAACCCTAATTTGAATTTGAAATTTGTTTTATTATCGATTTCATAATTTGTAACACTTCAACAAATTTTTTATTAACAAACTAAACGATTTCAAAGTGAGCAGTGGCAACACTATACGAAAAAAAAACATTTTTATCTCAAGCGCACAAGACTATGTATTGGAAATTCTAAAGATATGCTCATTTTAAAATTATTTTGGGATATTGCTGTTGAACTGAATTTTCTGGTTTGAGTACATAGAGCATGATATTTAATAAATAAAGTTACCACACAAAATGTTAAAAAAAATGGCCCTTTGGACATAATTTAAAACCTGAAACCTTTCCTCCCCCCTCCTAGAACAGGATTTTGAAATTGACAGCTATTAATCAAAATTTGTAGCTCTTTCCACAAAGTATTAGATCCTCCTAAGTTAGGCCTGTTACTTTCACTTCTTCTCCAGCTGATTGAATATGTTTTTATGAGAAAAGTGCTTCTTTCTTTGAAATGTTCAGCTTAAATAATAATAATAACACTTCTCCCCTTTTTCTTTTCCTTCTTTTCTTTTTGAGTTAAGGTAAAGTGCACTTTTTGAAAAGAATTGAGAATTTTTTCCAAATTAGAATCATGACAGAGCTTTGAATGTATATGCATTTTGTCAAAGCTGAAAATGCATATTTTTTCTGCAGAATTCAATTGTTCGCAATTTTCCTTTATTAGAGCAAGATTATCCCTGAATTTGTGGACTACACAAAAATTTAGTGTGCCAGTTTTTTAATGTGCCAGCACTAGGTAAAGGAATTTCCATTTTTCCTTTCCAAAAACCGTAACTTTTAGATGACAAAGCTGTCATAATGACAATGCAACGTGAAATATCTTTACTAGTCCACCTGATTTTTTCCTTCTTTTCTAGTAATGTGTTAATCTGTGCCTTTGTAAAAATATGCTTTAGATATTTTTTCAAATTCTCCAATCTCTGCATTTTTCCCCTCTGAATTCCACTATTTGATATTTTAATTTTTGAATCTCTGATACCAGTTTCTATTTAGATGCTGTCCACCTTCTTTGTCGCTAAGCAAACATTCTTAAAGTCTCCATTTTACAATACTTCAATATAATCTTCTACAGATGTTATTTTGTCTTTCAAATTATTAATGCATTCTTGTTTATCTTTATACTTAGAGCATTCTGTGATATTTACATTGTGCATTTATTTCAAAATCATTCACATATGATTTATTATTGTCATCATTAGTTTTGAATTGGGCCTCAAAATGAATTTTCTTTGGACTTAATTTGCATTAGACTTTCAGAAGCACTCTGCATTAGTTTTCTTTTTAGTGTTATTACTCCTTAGTGTTATTTCTTTTACTCTACATGGTAAATTAACCTTTGAAACAGCATTAAATTTTAACATTTTTTTTTTCATCAAAAGCAAATTTTCTTTGAAAAAGCATGAAGTACAGTATCTCTTTATTTCTTATTTCTATGTGTCTTAATGGCATATTTCTGCAGCGCATGAAGCCATATTGCATAAACGATGCTTTACAATCGAGAATTTAAAAAGAAAACTGACTAAAACTATATATCTGATTGTAAAGAAAGTTTTCCACCAAAAAATGTTCTTGATAAAGTTGGAGAAAGAAAAACATGAAAACAATACCTTTAATGTGGGTAGTAATCACCACTCAAATCTATGATTTTCTGCCAACATTTTGGTAGTTTTTCAAAGCCTTCAGCCCAGAAGCTTGGTGGCCGCAAGCCCAGATACAAATCAACCTCATTTTGGATGTTCTGTGCAGAATGGAAGATAGCACAACCAAGCAATAGCTGCAGCTGTGAAAAAAGGTAGAAGTCTGAAGGAGTGATGTTGGAACTATATGGTGTGTGTGGCAATTATAGTCTCCTTCAAGTTACGCTCGACTGTCCGAATATTCGCCAATTCCAAGCATGCGGGTTAGTTAAGCTTTTACTGTTAAAGATGGCTGCATGAAGCAAATTTCTGGCTTCTGATTTCAGAAATGTTCCTCTTTTTTACTTAAATTATTTTGCTTGCAATTTCTGTTAAGAAAACTGATATACATGAAAATTTAGAAAATGTTCAGAATTTAGATTTAAATTATTTAAATATCAATATGAGTGGGAAAATAAATTGTATTTATTATTAGGTTCCAAACGAATACAATAAATATGGCCTTATTATTATTTATTTCTCTATTTTGAACTGAAATTTCATCATTAAATCTTGCAATATAGTTTTAGTTTCTTCATAGTTTTTTTTTTCTCTCATTGTAACTAGTTCTGTAAATTGAACTATTATTTAAAATAAAAAAAAAGTAATTATTTTCCATGGTTGAGGTAATGCTTATTCTCTCTTAATAAGTACTTCATTTCTCATATTTTAAATTACAATTTTAATTTTTAAGGTTATGCAGTTGTATATGATGTAATTAGACAGGTGCTTATTTTTTTTCTTAAAATGTGCTTGAAAAGTGCTTATAGGTGCTTACTTTTTTAACTAAAATGTGGCTATGAACCCTGTGGATGTAAATGATGGTTCGAATCTGGTAGCATGATAGTTCGATTTCAGAATGTTATAGTTAATGATAACTATACTTTTTTTACAAATTTCACAACACAGTGTTGCAAAGGAAGTCTCTCTCTTTCAAATGCCAAAAATTAAATAAGAACAAAATAAGATTAAACATGGTAACACTAACTGTTTGCAGAGACTATATTTGCGGTGACAGGAAACTATCGTTGAAACCCGATATGTACAATTTTGTTTAATTTTTACATTACTAGAAAACAAATACATATGATTTAAATTAATTTGGCATATTTACACCTCTAGAATATTGCCTTGCAGAATGGAACTACAATTTTAAACATGCAAAGTGAGAGCTGATGCAGCAAATTGATGTCAGATTACTTCCTGTTAACTCTCCCAGTGAGTACTGCATCATTGAGGGGTCACTTAAAGGAATGAACTAGTCCTTTCCTGTAACCCTGAATAAAAATAAAATTTGTTTTGGAAAAGATTTCTCATGTCAAGAGATTATGTGACAAACATTTCTCTTTCAGATCTTTGTGAAAAACATTGACAAAATAATGGACATCTTATTCTCTGAATCCTTTGAAATTCATATTTTAGAAAACAGTGACAAGCTTCGGTGTTGACATGTACAAGCTTCGGTGTAACTCATAATGATTGGCATTAATTAAAAGTGAACATTATTTATTCTTTAATGAATTTTTTGTGTGACTCTTAAGTAATAAAAATTCATGAGAATATTAATAACACATTTTTGTGCTTTGAACACTTTTAAATTACGTGTAAAAATTCTTTTGACATACCAAATGTAGAAAATTATAAAATAAAGACACTAATGAATTACAAACAAATTTCATTGAATGGCATTTAAGGGTAAAAAAAAATCCACCTTGAATTATTGAGTTAATTAATTAATGGACTCTTCAATACAAATTCAAAATGTGAAGTATCGCAAATTTTGAAATTAAATATCTCAGTCATTTTTTGTCATATGAAATTGGAATTTTTTGTGTTTTATTTCTTTTTTTAATGAGTGCAAAAATTTCCTAGATCTAAGTGTGAGGACCAGAGAAACATAAAAAGTTAGATTTTGTATAAATTTTTTTTTTTTTTTAAATTTAGAAGTACAAAAACACATATTTTTGCATTCATTTGAAACATATATGTAATTGAAGTATATGTTTATGACCAACAGTGTCTAAAATTAAAGCCAAGTAATGATTCTTGTGGTCACAGTGTACATAAAAACAGCAAATTTGAAGAATTAAAAGTATATTTTGTATAAGTACTTTGAACAATAAGAATTGGTGTGTGTGTGGCTGTTCTGAAAACCTTCAGCATTATATAATCTGTTTGTGCTAGTAATCGTAAAAATATATTTTTCATTGTTATTTATCTTTTCAGTTCCATTGAGCACTGAAATGGAAGAGAGGACAAAACAATTTGCACGCCAACTTATCAGTTTTTCTGACCAGTTTGAATTTATTCATTCTGGTTGTTCTAAGACTCGGTCTGCAGGTATTTTTAAAGTTTCTTCATTATTAACTTTGTAATTTATACCATTGATGCCTTTTTAAGATATTTGCAAATACCTAGTGCATTTACTTTTGGTGCCTTTTAAAGATAATTACAAATACCTGGTGCATTTATTCTTGGTGTCCTTTTTAGATATTTGCAAAACCTGGTGCATTTATCTTTTACTAAATGTATTGTAAATCTTATTTCAATAAAGCAAATATTTCAGTTGAATTTTTATAAGAGAGAAATGTAAGAATAGAAAATTTTCAATTTTATTTGCATTTATAATGAACTTTTGTTTAAATATGTATGTATTTTTTTTTTTTTTTTTTTTTTTTTTTTTATTCCAGGTAGTAGTGGTATTGAATTCAAAGATCTCAACATTTTTGTTTCTGCTGATAGCAAAGTAATTAAAATCTCTGTTGTAAGAAAAGATGCTGAGCAATCTACTAAGGCAAAATGGAAAACCTGTGATAAAACTGCTAAATCTGGTATTCACTTTGATGCCTCTGAAGGAGATGTTTTATTCAATGAGGGTGAATTAGAAAGCATTATAGAGATTGCATTATTAGAGAATAATGACAGTGGCATTGATAAACGTTTCCAAGTGGAATTATTTGATCCTGAAGGAAATGATGTTGGGAAACGTAATTGTGTAACTGTAAACATTTGTGATGAGGCCCGTAAGTATGCACATTTTTGTTACATTTTGTTATTTTGTAACTTTTTGTTTTGCACTTACATTTTTAGGAATTCTGTAAGTATTAGTTGTATTACGTGTTTTTAAGTTCTGGTATGCAAAATGTGTTGGTTTAAAATTTTATTAATACAGATACATATGTGTGTAATTAAACAAAAATTTTGATTTTTAAATATTATCTGAATATTATGTAAATGGATATTATTAGCATATGATATTTTTTATGAAACTTATGGAACTTTCTGATTACACCCACAACAAAATCTCAAAACGTATTCCCAAGGCATTGCCAGAATAGTTCTATGGTAACCTCCATAATGTCACCAAAAATCATGTATGTATGCAGCTCAGGTATATATATAGCATAAGTACATTTTAACAGGTATATAATGCTGATTTGGTATGATTCGCACTGTCCCATAACTTTTTGATAGTTTATGTATGACAACCAATATTGGCATCGATAAAATTATATTTACGGTTAATGCAGAAATGTTCACTTCTAGTCTCTGTTAATACTTATCTCCTTTCTAACAGTCTTAGTATATTATATAAAAAGACGCAAGGCAATCATTTAATTAAGCAGTTCCGTCTTGTTGCCTGTCTCAACAAGAAAATTCTTGTCTTATTTGAACAGCCTTCTGGGAGTCGATTCAGGTAAAACCTGAGAAACTACTTATTAGGATCTGTACTTAGGCAGTCTCGGCCACAGGTGTTTAAATTAAGTCTCCACAGGAACTGAAGTCATTGCTGGGGGAGGTTGTTTCACGCTCGGCAGGGACCGTATGATACTGTTTTGTCCGTTGGTTGTGGTGGAGCTATGTAGTCAGATATTCATAGATGTCTGGGGTGAAACATCCCCATCGATGGAGTTGGCGAATTCAGGGAGCCTTTAAACTGTTCGAGGATTCCGGTTCCAAACGTAGTAATTTGTGCAATATTTATCTTTTTTGTGATTGCTTGTTGTTATTGGTTATCTACATAAAAAAGGTTAAGTGCAGTTACATATTATGCTAAACTTAGGTTAACTTTTTAATTCGCAGAAGCAACAATTTGAGTATAATTACTCGAAAATTGTTTAGCTCTCATGTTT